GGTAAAATTGGTTGGCTTGTATCTCTTTTCCTGAGACATGGAGGTGGGTGTGTGAACTTGATTCATGGACATAGTGTGTTCCAGTCCCTGGAGTTGGTGCTAGGGTACAAAATGACCTCTTTGAGACTGGCTTCATATACGTTGGCGGGAAGCGTGTGTGTCCTGGCGCAAAGAGCGTTGGGAAGAGGCAGGCCCGTGTGTGAGCGTGTGCAAAGGCCCTAAGTGATGTCATTCTTTCATTCCGTTAATGGTCATTGAGGATCTGGTGGCAGACAATGAAGGATGTGGTGAGGGCGAACCCCATAGCTCTGCTGGGGGGACCAGAAGGGAAGTCAGTGAGTTGGGTTTCTGGTCTGTGAGCTTGAGGGTTCATCAGAAGAAACAAGCCATCAGAGTTCGTCACCATCAAAACCGAATGGCAGGGGCTGGCGTTGTGGCTCAGTGGGTTAACTTGCCACCTGCAACTCTGTCATCCCATAGGGGCACCAGTTCGCGTCCCGGCTTCTCCACTTCCCATCCAGTTCCCTGCTGTGGCCTGGGAAAGCAGCAGAAGATGGCTCAAGTCCTTGGGCCCCTGCACCCACGTGGGAGACCCAGAACTCCTGGCTCCTGGCTTCAGACCCACCCAGCTCCAGCCATTGGAGCCATTCGGGGAGTGAACCAGCGGATGGAAGACTTCTCTCTCTCTCTCTAACTCTGCTTTGCAAATAAATAAATATATCTTAAAAAACACTGAAATGCAAAGAGCACTCACTGAGCATCTGTTTCGTACAACAGTGGAAAGCGAGAACAGTCTTCCTTTAAGTGTAGCCCGTGCGGGAGGAGAGGCACCAGCGTTCTCACACTTCCGTGGATGGGGAGCTCAGGTAGGGGCTGAGGCTGCTTCTGGATGCGGCTCAGAGGTCTTGGTCCCTCCCTGCATGGGCCTCTCAGGCCGTGACTGCCACCTTCCCCCTTCCGGAACTGGAATGAGACAAGGATGTCTGCAGTCACTCCTTCTTTTATTATTATTATTTCTGTTTATTTAAATGATTCGCGGAAGTAGAGCAGCTAGGACTAGAACCGGTGCCCCATGGGATGCCGCTGTGTCGAAGGCAGCGGCTTTACTGCTACGCCACATCACCGGCCCCGTGGTTGTTTCTTTCTGGCCATGCCTGGTCTGACAGTTCAGCAGGCTGGAAGGCCAAGATCAAGGTGCCAGCAGGCTTGCTCTCCTGAGGCTGCTCCCCTTGGCTGCTGGCCTCACAGGGCCCCTGGTGCCTTCCGCCGCTTTTCCAGTTGGCTCTGATCTCTAAAGTCAGAGCCAAGGGCAAGTCTGATCCGCTGCTTGTTTTCCAGCTTCCATTTTTCACAGTTGCACTCCCTTCCCTCCCATTTCAGAGCCGTTTGCAGCAGTAAGGGCTAAAGCCATGTTTAAGCTCCTGTGCTTCCGCGTAGTTACACCACCACCACCCCCCTTCCTTCCTGGTGTTGTTTATTTGCGTTTTTCTCTGCTTTCATTCTTGCCAGGGGAGCGTTCGTCTCCCCGCTTTCAAAGCAACGCCTTGCGCTGCGAAGGCTCTGTCTTCTCGCGCATCCTCGTGAGTTCGTGAGTTTCGGCTGTGTTGAGTTCCTTCCTTCTGCCGTCTTGCGTCTTGCGTCTTGCGGTCGGGAGCCCTTTCTGCTGCTGTCTGCCTTCCTCCTTTTAAGGCTATAAGCTTCCCCGGCAGCTTTCCTAGGCTGGGTTTTCACTGTTGCTCGGTTCTAAACGCTTTCAGATTTTCATTGGAATACTTGGACCAATGCATTACCTGCAAGTGTGCTAGTTAGTTTAAATTTGCAAAATCTGGGATGAGTCCCTTACGTGCTATCAGTTTCTCCTCTTGCGGCTGGAGAACTGGGGCTGAGGATCGCGAAGCTCTGACTGTCTGTTGAGACTTGTTTTGCAGCCCGGGGCGTGGGGCATCTCAGCAGATGTTCGAAGTGATTCTGAAAACAAAGTGTCCCCTCTGCTTTTTGGATGCTTGTTCGCGTGTTTCCCATGTTCTCACTAATTCTGTCTGGTTGAACTATCATGTCCAGCGAGAGGTGGTATGATTTACTGTGGAGAATCTACTACTTTATTCATTTTTCCTTTGCTCCTTTTCTTTTGGTTTTATACTCATTCATGGCCCCATTATGAGTGGTCATTGTGCAGTGACCTCTTTAATCCTACTTGTGATTTTGCCCCTGAAGCTCACTTTGTCCAGTATTCTCTTCTCTCTGCCTCCCCTGGGATCCGGAACAAATCCTAACTTCACAATGTAGATAAAGCACAGTCTGTTCTCGGCCCCCTACCGGAAGCCCAAGCACCTCTCCCCAGGCTGTCCATACCGGGAGTCCCACGCCTGCTGCTGCTCTGCCTGCCCTGCTGTCGCTGCACACCAGCCTCATGGCAGCTGCACCTTCCCCTCAGACCTGCCCTCCCCTGGGGCTGCCCCTCCTGGCCAAGGGCACCAGTGCCCCAGCCCTCCCAGCCAAAGCCCAGGGCCCTCACCTAGCCTCCTCTGCCACAGGCTCCTCTCCCTTCCCTACCTAGTGTCTGTCCAGGGCTTTTGTTACAGATTTATTTATTCAAAAGGAAGAGTCTCTCTCTCTCTCTCTCTCTCTCTCTCTCTCTCACGCACACACACACACACACCTTCCATCCCCTGGTTCATTCCTTAGCACGGCCTGGCCTAGCCAGGAGCCAGGAACTCCATCTGGGTTTCCTATGTGGGTGGCAGGGCCATCCTCTGCTGCCTGCCATGCACATTAGCAGGAAGTGGGATCTGAAGTGCGGAGCAGACAGGACTGAAACCAGGCACTCTGAAATGGGATGCAGGTTTGCCAAGCAGTGGCTTCATCTGCTTTGCCATAACGCACACCCCACATGCACAGCCCTCTCATCTCCGTCTATCCATGCATCCACTCATCCGTCCCTCCCTCTAGCCATCTATATGCACTTATCTGCTCATCTATCATCCACCCTCTTTCTAGAATCATCTGCAATTTAGCTGTCTATAAGCAAGGATTTATTCATCTGTCATCAATCACCTATCTCCCTATCATTTATCTATACTCATTCATCTATAATCTATCACCTACCAAACATCCATCTTCCATCTCTCTCTCTACCATCGCTGTTTCTCTGTCTGCCTGTCTGTCTATCTATCTATCAATCATCTATTCGTCTGCCATGGGTTGAATATGATTTGTCCCCTCTCAAACTCTTGGTGAAATGTGACTGTGGCAGAGTTGGGAGATGCGGGCTATTTTCACTTATTTTTTGAGGTGAAATTCCTTCTCAACTACCCCATGCAGTGTTCAACAAATCCACAGTATTGGGCAACCTCTCCTCCGTAGCTCTGTGGCTCCGTAGCTTGCATCTCCCCAGAAGGCAACCCTGGACCCTTTAAGCAGTCCCTTTTCCTTTGCCCCCGCCCTCCACCCCAGTAACCATGAATGCAGCATGGGATGTGTGACGTCACCAAGCATGACTTCAGGGTGCAGCCCTGCTATTTCAGGGCTCACTCATGGCCCGTTCCATGGACATGCCCTACACTGTCCATTCAGCTGTCACTGGACGCTTGGGCTGCTACGGGCATTCATGTATCCGTGTTTGGTTGCATGGCTGTTCTGAGTTCTCTTGGGCGTGAAGTGAGGTGGGGCACGCTGAGCCCATGGAACCTCCGTGCCTGGCTGTCTAGGGCTGGCTCTCCTCAGCTGCCCATGCCCATGCCAGCCCAGCTCCTCCCTCCCCTGCATCCTGCTCCTGATTCACCCCTGGCCTGGCACAAGCAGTGCCCTCTTCCTAGGTCTAGAAGCACGAGCATCCTGCCTGGGTCTCAGCTTAGCCAGCTCCCAGCTCCTTGCCTGCTGGCCTCATTCCTGGGGCTCCCCCCAGCCACCCTTGCTTTGCAGCTTCTGTCGGAGGGTGCCTGGGGGGCAGGGAGCCTGCAGTGGTCCCCTGCCCCCAGCACTGGGCTCAGCCAATAGTTCTTAGGAAGTGGCCTTGTGGGCTCAGGCTCAGGGCCTCATTCATCTCCCCACAGCGGCCTGGAGGCTTAGGCTGCCTCCTTCCCTTAAACTCACCCTTTCTGCCCCTCCCCCTCTCCCCAAAGCAGACACTGAGGCTGGGAGGCAGGACTGCATTTTCCACAGAAGTCTTTACTGAGGGGACCGAGGGAGCACCCAGCCCGAGGGCTGAGGGCCAGGAAAGGCACATGGCGGTGGGGTCTCCCTTTGGAGTGAGGGCTGGTGCCCCCTGCCGACCCCTCTTTGGCACTGAGCTGGGAACACGGCGCCCTCACTCTGGCCCGGCCCCAGTGGCGGCTGGCAGTGTAGGCAGGCAACAGGAGCCGCCACGGGCCTCTGAGGCAGGGCAACGTGGAGGGAACGCGGTGGCCACCTCCCTTGTGGCAGGTGCTCCCGCCGGCAACTGCCACGGCTACAAACAGAGACTCCAATAAATTAGGCTGGAGGGACAGAGGGACCGGCTCTCTGTGCAACTCCTCCGGGGCTCCTTGGGGCCCCTGGCGGGGAGGGGAGGGGAGGGGAGGGTGCAGACGAGGGGCTCTGTCTGACCAGGGTTCCTATCTGTTTGCTTCCGTGGCAGGAAGTGCGTCCTGTGGGACAGCAGCCTTGGTTGGTCACCCTGGGGGATGGCCACAGGGATGGACCATGGAGTCTTCGAGGGACTGAAGAGGTAATGGGCTCAGGCCTGGGCCTCCCCAGGCCTCTGCCCTGTTCCAGAGAAAAGTACAGGACCCAGGAATTGGGGAGCAGCCCCCGGGGCGAGGGATGAGGGATGTGGGCTGGTGGCAGGGGCATCTAGGCTCGCTGGGGTCTTCAGGGAAGGGCGGCGGGAGGCGGAGCTGGGGCCATGGGGGAGGCATGCAGGGGCGGGCTGAGGGCAAGGGGATGGTGGGGGGTGTTTCTGCTTCCTTCATGTGATCCGAGAGCTTGGGGACAGGCTCGGGGCTGTGTGGTCAGGCCCTCCGTCAGGTGGGGACCCCAGGGCCCGGGAGGCTGGGGGCCGCCAGCTGGCCTGGGGTCACGGCCTCGCCCAGGATCTGGCACAGCTCCTGGAGGCGTCGCTGCATCTTGGGGATGCCGGCCAGCTGCTGCTCCAGCCGCTGCTTCTCCTCGGTCAGGCTCAGGCGGGCGGCCGAGTCCAGCTTCTCAAACTTCCAGCCTCCTTCCCCGTCAAACTGGAGCAGGTGTGTGTGGTACTTCCTAGCCAGGAGAGAGACGAGGATGCGGGCGGCCCAGGGAGGGGTCCTCCTCTCCCGGGGAGTAGCCCCCTGCCTCCAGCTGCAGGCCCGGAGAGGTGCCTACCACAGGGAGGGCCGGTGCGTGATGGACAGCAGTGCGATGCCGGCGTCCTTGGCCGCCTGGAAGATCTTGCCTTCCACGTCGATGCTTACGGCGCTGGTGCATTCATCCAGGAGCGCGTACTTGGGCCTTGGGTGTGAGGACCGGGATGTGGGGAGAGGGTGCAGCCCGTCAGCTGCCTGACCCCTGCCACCCAGCCCCAGCCCCAGCCCCCGCCCCAGCCCCAGAGCTGCAGAGGGAAGCCGATCCGGCGTTCGTCTCGCTGCCGGCACGGCCCACAGCACTCACTTGTGGTAGAACATGCGGGCCATGCCGATCCTCTGCTTCTCTCCTCCCGAGAGGACGTCCTTCCAGTCACACACCGCTTCCCAGCCTAGGCAAGGGGCAAGGGACCCCGCTCGATTCAACAAGGGCCCGGGGCTCGGGGCCTGGGGCCTGGGGAGCTGGGCAGCGATTCAGTGCAAAGAAAGGGCAATGCTGAAGCTGTGTCCTTGTGGCCTGGGACCCTTTCAGGATCGAAAGAGCTGGGACCAGAATTGGGTCCCCCAAAAAGATGTATTGGAGATCTAACCCCTGGTACCAGAGAGTGAGCGTATTTGGAGGCAGGTTGCTTGCCAGAGGTGATCAAGTTCAAGTGAGGTCATTAAGGTGGGCCCTAAGCCAGTGCGACTGGTGTCGTCTTCACACACAGGGGACATGAGGGCTGGGAGACACACGTACAGGGAAGCCAATGTGCACAGACCCCCGGAGAAGATGGTGGCCGCCACGCCACGGACAGGCCCTGGAATGCATTCTTCCCTCACCGCCCACACGAGGAACCTTGGCCTCAGGCCTCAGGCCTCCAGAGACAGCAGATGATCCACCACGTGGCTGAAGCCATGGCAGCCACGGGAAACTCTCACGGGACTACCAGGCCCCTCCCTGACGGAGCAGCAGCCGCCACTTGGTTCAGCGGGCAGCAGAGAGGACGGGGCTCAGCTGGGCCGCGTGAGCGAGCCACTCAGTGGGTGATTCAGCTGCGGGGCACTGCAGTCAGCGCCTCCTCTCCCTCGTCTGCTCTGCCTTCCCAGCCTGTGGCTGCCCAGAACGACCGTCACACTTCCTAGCTCGCCTTGTGGTGAGCTGTGACTATGTGCCTGCATCAGCGGCGTAGACGCATTGCGTGTGTAGCGGCCCGTTTGCACCATGAAGGCCCTTGAAGATGGAGGACACACACAGTAGCGGGACGTAGCAGAAAAGCCTGTCCAGGGACTTCCAGCACAGAAGAGGAAACTCGGGAATCATCCCTGCCGCTGAACTTGACCCTGCTAGGTTGTGATGTCACCCCTGCCATGCAGGACAGGCGGCGGGGGGCACTCCCACGCCCAGGGCAGCAGGAGCGAGCGCTAAGGGCAGGCCAGCGGCCCCTGGGGAAGAAGCTTCAGAGTGGGGAGAGGGCTCGGCCGGCAGCAGCCCCAGCCTCGCGTGCCGCTGACTTCCTCACTTGCCTGCGTGGATTTACCCTGCAGGAGGTACGCTGCTGAACGCTGGGCAGAGGCAGGGGCTGGGCCCTTCCCCTTCTAAGGTGAACAGGCTCCAGGTCATCGCGCGCCCGAGCAGGGCAGGAAGCGGCTCGGATTTCTCTGAGCAAATTCCACGCCCTCCACTGTGTCCCCGCAGCTGGACACCCACGGTGCGGAGAACAATGGACACTGCACAGTCTTCTTCATCAGACACCTTTGCTTGCCCCCAGCCTGCCCCTCCCCCTGCCAGTCTCTTCTCAGAGGCCCCTCTGACTCTGCCCTCCCCACCCACAGTCCCAGGCCGCGCACACCTTCGCTTGCCTCTTCCCCGGCTACCCGCCGCACTGCACCTTGCTAGAATGCAAAACTGACCAGTCCCAGCCTGCTGAGGACAAGCCCACGCTCCTCGCTGTCACACGTGCTCCTCCGTGAGCCGCTCTCCACTGCCCGCTGTCCCCAGCCCAGGTGAGCAGCAGCTTTCAGCTGAGACCCCAGTGCGGTGAGTGGTCTGCTGGATGCCCTTTGCCATTGCCCAAGCACTCATGCCCCTGGGGACCACGTGTTTGGTCCTCCTTGACAGGTGGGGCTCTCCGAGCCTGGCACCTGTGTCGCAGCTTTGCAGCACCTAGCACTTTGGACTCCTGGGTGCAGAGATAATCTTCATGCCCCGGGGCCAAGGGAGAGACAAGATAGGGGCTGGGATGTCCGAGTCTTGGGACAAAGGGCGAGGGTCACTTGTGTGCTGCCCGCCTACCTCCTTCCCGCTGCAGGATGTGGTGCAAGTGCACCACATCCAGGATGGCTTCCAGGTGCTGCTCCGAGTAGCCTTTCCTGCGCATGTCCTCCACCGAGTCGGGGTAGATCACTTGGTCACGCAAGGAGCCCACGGACATGTAGGGTCTGTGGGAAAGCTGCGTGTCCACCAAGCCCGCACAGCCTGCCACCCCAGCGTGTGCACACCAAGCACAGCCTGCCCCCCAGCGTGTGTACACCCCGCACATGCATCTGCAAGCACGTGCCACACCCTCCCAAATCCGACAGCCACAGGCGAGCCAACTGGGCTGCAGCCCGTCTGTGGCTCTGGGTCAGCATCTTGGGGTCCTCTCCTGAGGGGTGACTCTCCTGCTTCCTGCAGTGCACGGGCAGCAGGAGGCAAGGGAGAGACAGGGACTGGGCCCCCGGCAGCCTCCTCACCTCTGCGGGATGTAGAACATGCGCTGGGGCGGGGGCTTGTAGAGCACACCCCCGTAGGTGGGCCACAGCCCACCAAGGATCCGGAACAAGGAGCTCTTGCCGCAGCCGTTGGGGCCCGTGATGAGCAGATGCATGCCTTCCTCCACCTGGGGGGGGGGCGGGGGGGCATGCAGGCCTGGCACCCGGCCTGGGGTCTCCTTCCCAGCCTCAGCTTGCTCCCTCCCCTGAGGCCCGAGGTAAGCCAGTCTGGACCACTTGGTAATGCACTACTGGGCCTGGGGGAGCGGAGCGCCTGGCCAGCACTAGAGAGGGAGGGCCTATCTCGCTACAGCGGAGTGAGTGGGTGTGGCCGTGGAGCCCATTCCCCTCCGCTTCTTCCCCCTTCTAGACTTCAGGTACCCCCCCCCCCCACGCCGCCAATCCCTGCTCTCCCCGTGGCCCTCTTTGCCTCCACAGCTACCACGGAGCTATGCAAACACCTGCTGTTGGGGAAATGCTGGCCAGGGCAGTGGGGCAGTGTGTAGGAGGAAGGGCTCAGAGGGCAGAGGGACCATGGGCCCTTCCTAATAGGCCCCATTTAGTGCCCGTGCCAGCAGGGTGAGGGGTCGGGAGAGCGCAGGCACTGCAGGGCACAGATTGCCACCGCCCCTGCTACTCCTGCCTGGGCCCTCCTCTCTCTCAGCGCGTGCCTTTCCGCATCCGGGAGATCCACAACACATTGCGGGGGCCCCTGCCAAGATCCGATGTTGTGCTCACCGCGGGCGGCCTCTGGCTTACCTCGGGCGGTGTCACAGGTTGGATTGTATCCCTCACCCCCAATTCATACGTCCTAGCTCCCAGTACCTGGGAATGCCATTTAGAAAACATCACGTGGAAACAGGGCTGTGGCAGAGGTACTGAGCGGGACTGACACGCAGTCATGCTGCAGCCAGGTGGGCCCCGACTCCAGAAGCACTGGTGCCTCGGGAGAAGGGGGCTCTGGACGGCCGTGTGCGTCAGGAGGAGGCCATGGAACACGAGGGCTCAGGATGCAGCGCCGGGAGCCAGCGAGGCCCAGAGAACATTCTCCTCGCAGTCCCGAAGGAGCCCGCCCTGCCGCCCCTGGCTCCCGGACCCCCAGCTGCTGGTAAGGCTGCGGGGCCTCTGGCCCTTTGTTCCCGCAGCCCCTGGACACTGACTCAGTCACTATGGATCCACTAGCCAAGTGAGTACTGCTCAGGATGACGGGGATCACAGCCGTGTTTGGGGTGAAGTCGTGTGTCCCGCTTCCAACCTGCTCTTGGGCCTGTCCCCCATGCTCACCTTCTACCCACCCCTGTGTCCCTGTGGCTCCACTCCCTCCAGGTGTGTGGACCACCTTTCTTGTGGCCCCTGCTATACCTGGGACAGCTAAGTGAAGGCCTCTGTAATACATCACTGCTCCCTCCTGAGTGGGGACGCCCTACGAGCTCCCCTAAATTACCTCTGGTTTCCAGAAGGAGGGAATAACTCCCTCTCACTTTCTCCCCTCCCCCTGCCATGGTCTTCCCTTACTCTACAGCACTGTGGCTGGGACACAGGTGACCAGGGACAGCTGAGCTGTCAAAGATTCCCTTCTGTGGCCTTGCCAGTGGGCAAGGCTGCACCAGGGGCTTCTCAGGGCGCACAGCAGAGGGGCTCAGGTGAGTAAAGTAGAATCAGAGCCCCCACGTCTTGCCTTTTCGGGGGGAGGGTGTAGGGGGACAGGTGATGATCAGATCAGAAACACTTGGGTGACCCTTGGCCAGCCCTGGTAATAGCTAATCCCTTTTATCAACTCTGACTCCATTGCCCTAGTGCTAATAATCAGAGACACGCTGGTGTGTGACCCTGACCTCGGCCTACCTGCCACGTAGATCCGGGGACAATGGCTACTGCCAGCACAGGCAGCCAAGAAGCCAAGGGTTGAGGCTTGCAAATGCAGATGGCCAGGCAGCCAGGATGGACCTCTGCCTCATCCACTCGGCCCAGGCCCACTAGCGCTTCCAGGCCAGGTGCCCCTGCTCCAGTGGACCTACCCTGATGTTGAGGCTTGCCACTACCACCTCTCCTGTGGGCGTGATGATGGGGATGTTCTCACAGATGATCCCCTGCTCCACATCTACCACCTGGCCTGTAGAGAGAGCGCAAGGAGGACACAGTATTCCGGTGGCCTGTAGTGCATTCTGCACAGCCCCCAGATGTCCTCCCTTGCTCCCTGGGCCCTGGCTTACCCACCCCCAATATGCCTTTGGGAATTAACCAGTGCCCCTCCCCCTCCAGCGTCTGGTACTGTGCCTTGGGAACCCCAGGAACCTGGAGCACTGAGTCTACTTTTGCTCTCCAGCGCTGCCATGCTGGCAGACAACTCTGGGAAGGAAGGCTGTAGAAAGCCCTCCCCAGAGGCCCTGTCCAGCCAGGGCAGAAGACCTGAGTGACCCTGCTGGGCAGCTCTGCCGTCCTGGGGGGCCCAAGAGGCAGAATGGGGCTAAGAGGAGCCAGGACAAGAGAAAGCACTCTGCATGGAGGGGGCAACCTTACCTCGGATCTTCAGGGGTGTGTCCACTCGAACACCAGACCGTGCCACAGTCCCACTCCCGATCTGAGCATCTTCCGGTTCCCCAGGCCTCTTGAAACGACAGTGCTGAACATCTTCAAATACCTGGAACATCTCGTGAACCCGGGCTGTGTAGCCGGCCAGCTCCGTCACCTGCAGGGAAGGTGACCGTGGCTCAGCCGCTGCCTACTTAGGGAAGGGCACGGCCAGTGTGGGGGCTGGGCCCGCGGTACCTCCTTGTATGAGGACATGATCCGCTCGATGGCGTCTGCAGCAGCCGTGAGCAGGTTGCGGGCAATGGTGAACGCCTCTGTGCGCTCACTCACCAGCTCCTCCTCCTTCTTCGCCAAGGCCGCTTTCTTCACAGCTTCCGAGTCTGCGGAGCACAACGCGGGCAGGGGGGAGGGGCAGAGACAGCGGAAGGTCACACAGTGCTGGGACAGCCTGCGAGACAGTGACCCCTACCTCACACTCCACACTAGCGCAGAGTGGGTTACAGGCCACCATGGAAGAGCGCACATCGCGAAACTCTCAGAGAGGGGCTGGTTCTGGGGCATAGCGATGCAGAAGCCCACACTGGAGGGCCAGTTTCTGTCCCGGCTGCCCCACTTCCGATCCAGCTCTCTGCTAATGCACCTGGGAAGGCAGGGGAAGACGGCCCAAGTGCTTGGGCTCCTGCCACACACGTGGGAGTCCAGGTTGGAGTTCCAGGCTTCTGGCTTCAGCCTGGCCCAGTCTAGGCCACCGTAAGCATCTGAGGATTGAACCAGCAGGTGGAAGATCTCTCCCCCTCTCTCTATAGCCCTGCCTTTCAGATCAGTCAGTCAGTCATAAAGGAAACAAAACTCTCAGAAGAAAACAGGGTGACGCTTTATAACCTTAGGTATGGCAATGGTTTCTGAACTATGACACTGAAATCACAAGGAACAAAAGAACCAACTGATCCTCACTGAACTAAACATCGTTGTGTACCAAAGGACGCCAGCGAGGACATAACAAAGGAACATACAGACCAGGGGAAAATATTTGGAAAGCACCTATGTGATAAGGCTGTAATATTCAGAATAAATAAGGAACGTTTACAACTTAACAACAAACAACCCCAGTAAACAACAGGCAAGCTAGTGGGTGTTTAGCCTTCTGCTTAAAGTGCTTGTGTCCCACATCAGAGTGCCTGGATTTGATTCGAGGCTGCAGCTTCAACTCCACTCTGCTAGCACAGACCCTGCAGCAGCAGGGATGGCTCAGTGATAGGAGACGCGGATTGTGTTCCTGGCTCCTGGTTTGTAAACCAGTGGATAAGAGTGTGCGCGCTCTCTCTCCTTCTCTCTGTCAAACATATAAAGCAACCAAATGAAAGCAACAATAGGAAAAATATCTGAATAGACATTTGGCCAAAGAAGATAGGTAAATGCCCTAGCTTATGGAAAGATGTGCCGCATGATCTGTCATTAGGGAAGTGCAAATGAAAACCACACGATGCTTCCTCCCACCTGCTAGGACCACAGGAACCAGGGATCCCACAGCAAGCTGGATATGCAGCAGAGGCAGGCACGTGTGTCTACAGAAGCTTGTGTGGGGATGTTCACAGTAGCCCGAACGGGGCAAACAGCCCAAACATCCATCAATGGATGAATGGAATATCATTCAGCCATAAAAAGGAAAGAAATGATTCATCTTAAAATATGGATGAACCTTGAAACCCCCGTGCTCGGGGGCAGAAGCCAGACAGAACAGACCTCATGTCACATGATTCCACTGATACGACATGTGCAGGACAGGCCCACCCATGGAGACAGAAAAGAAGTCCGTAGTTGTCAGGGCTGGGCAGGGGAGGAACCGGGGGTAGCTGCTAACGGGTCTTGGGTTTCTTTTAGGCAATAAAAAGGTTCTGGACTTGGTGGGGAAGGCGGCAGAACTCGGAATATATAAAAAACTGCTGAATCACAGGCACAAAAGGCTGGAGTGCATGGTATGTGAAAAATGAGCCACTAAAAAAGAATGGAATCCTGTCATTTGTGGCAACGTGGCTAGAACTCGAGGCCATTATGTTAAGTGAAGTAAGGCAGGCACAGAAAGACAAGTACTCCGTGATTTTGCCCATATGTGGAACTCAGAAGAGCTGGCGCCCTGGAGGTCAGCAGCAGCTAGGAAGGCTGGGGGTGGGGGCTAAAGGGAGGAGGAGGCCCCAATGCCGCCCAGCACGACAGGGCACCGGGAGTTCCGAACGATTTAGTAGATAGCTCCTATTACAACTAGACGAGAGGACTTCCAGAGCCCCCAACACAGAGAAATGGTAAGTGCTTAAGGAGATGGAAATGCTAGTTACCTGATTTGATCACTTACACAGTATATGCGCATCAGATAATCACAGTGTACACTGTAGGCACATAGGCAATGGTTAGCCGTTAATTTAAAACCAACCAACAAATAAAACTTCCATCCCTGTTCCTACAGCTCTCCACTGTACCTGAAGTAAAAATCTACACTAAAACAAAACAAAACAAAAACAGAAAACGCACCAACTGGCTCCTTCTGCCTAGAACACCCGTGCCCTCTGTCACGTGCTGGTGAGGTCAGCCCTCCTGGCTTGGCCTGGACTTCATCGTCTGACACCAGAGCTGTTTGCCTTTGGAAAGGGGATTTTCTGACCTCCATGGCTGCGCCTCCCTCGGTGCCATGCCCTTGACCTCCATGCCACAGTCATCCTGTTTTCTCTCCCAGGAGCTGCTCCTTAACCTGATTTGCTGTTGAAGTCTAGACCCCCATGGTCATGTCTATCAGCCTTTCTTGTCAATGACCTTGACTCCCTTGACCCTTGGAACTTCCCAGAGAAGCAAGATTTTAACACAAGGAATCTCCCTGGAAATGGCAGAGGAGAGCAAAGAGGAGGCTGACTCTGATGGTTCTGGAATGTGGGTAGCGAATAGCACCCACTACTGAGGCCCAAGGGTGGCAGTAGAGAGGGTTCATGATCCAGGGGCAAATGGGGTCCTGGGGTGGGGGCCTCGGGCTTAACGGCAAGAGTAGGGTGGGGAGAACAGCAGGGAGTCAACTCAGATAGTGTGGGGAAGACAGGGGACAGGATGGATGGACAGGGTGCCTTGTGGTGCCTTCTGGGGCCCTGTGTGGGAAACCCGGCCAATGAATCAGGCTGGAAGGAGACAGGGGGCTTTGCTCCTGAAAGTCCAAGGTCCTCGGCCTTTTTTCCCAACAGGCACGGGGGACACTGGTCATCCCCTCTGGATGCCTTGAGAGCTGGACGGTAGGTAACTAGGGACAAAGCAAGGAGTCCGCAGGATTCCCAGGGCATCCGGGCAAGAGCCTGCACCATTCAGAAGACAGAACTAACTGTCCTCTGTCGGCAGGTAGCGAAGGCCCCCCAAGTGACAGGGAAAGGCTGCTGGGCTGGAGTGGGAACTCCAGGCCCCGCCCTCGTCCCAGGCCCTGCAGGCTCGCCGGCCAGCAGAACAAGGCTGGTGTCAATCCTGCCTGCCTCCTCCCAGCAGCCTCAGCAGACAAAAAGCCTTGCCCTCAACCAGCTCTCCACAGTCTAAAGTCGGGGAGAGATAGAGAAACCAGACACAGACGTCACACAGACAGGATGCCGCGACACAGGCAGGATGTCGGCACTTGGGAGGGCGGTAAGGCAGAGAAAGGGAAAAGGCAGGCAGGAAGGCAGCAGGCCACACCTAGAGGGCCTGGGAGCAAAGCTCTCTCTGTCAAAGGGAGGCGCTGTGCCTGGGGTGGAAGAGGAAAGAGCGTTCCTGGCAGCGCCAGCAGCACATGCAAAGGCCCCGAGGCAGAAGCATGCCTGGTATTTGGGGGAATAACAAGGAGGCCAGCAAGCCAGAAAACAGCCCGGGCAAGGGAGATGGGCGCTTTGTCCATCTTGCAAAGATAACCAGATGTAAGGGCCACGAGGGTGGGGTCAGAAGCTCCTATTTCTTTGAATGGCCTACAAAGCCTCACGCAGCAGAGGCTCCAAAACGTCTCTGGCCTTCAGGGGGACTAGACAGGCCGTGCTGTGTCCAGGCCTAGCCACGGACAAAGTGGCTGCAGCTGCGGGTTGGTCCGCACGCTCTGTAACCGTAGACTTTGGCACTTGTGCCGGAACCAAGACCACCTTGACACGGGGGCCTACGTGGTGGAAGTAACAGCATGCTCCAGACCACAGTCTTCCTCTTGGGTGCCGCCCAGAGAGGGACACAGACAGCGAGGGTATGGCAGCCCAGGGTGAAATCACAAATAGGGAGAGAAGCAGAGAGACTTCTGTTTGTGAAATGAGTCAGGCTGTAGCAACACATCGATGACTGAAGACCCTCTGACCACCACCAACTGCACAAACTTGAGGTCCCTCTAACGCAGAGCTGTGCTGGAAGAACATCAGGGTGCTGGCTTAGACACCCCCTCCCCCCAGAGACAGACAGAGGACCAGGAGCTTCGGTCTCTTAGCTGGGGTTCTGGGTGCATAGAACAAAAGGTCAGCCTACGAATCTGTAATTACGTGTCCGGGGCTCAAATGAATACTACCTCCACGCTCAGGAACCACCTCCCCACTGCGCAAGCTGGGAACTGGACATGAACACGGCCTGCACCTGGTTAATTACCCCTGGAGTGCTTGGCACAAACAAAGTGAACAGGCACCAGGGAATTATACCCTCCATGGAGGCCACACGGATCCTCATGGAAGTCCTGCTGCAGAGCCTACAAGGAACCGGTTCCCCATGAGTAAAATCGGAGGAGAAAGGCGCATCAGATGCCCAAGAACTCCCGAGAACCAAACTGCTCGAGAGAGTTGGGGAATACGCATGACTTATGGGGTACCCAGGAGCGGCTGCTGTAGTGCGGTGCGGAGCCACCGCTCAGGATGCTCACGGCTGTATCAGAGTGCGGGTCGGCATCCTGGCTGCTCTGCTTCCCATCAAGCTTCCTGTTACTGTACCTGGGAAGGAAGCAGTTGCGAGCTCAAGTGCTTGGGCCCCAGCCAGCCACGTGGGAGACCCAGATGCAGTTCTGGGCTCCTGGCTTTGGCTCGGCCCGGCACAGCCCCGGGTGTTGCAGCCATGTGGGGAGTGAACCAGTGGATGGGTGAGTTCTCTGTGTTGCTCTGCCTTTCCAATAAATAAATACAGCTTTAAAAACAGCAGGCATCCAGCATCAAAGGATTGTTTGAAGAGACACAGACAGAAGAGACTTACAAAAACGGTGTGGAATTTGTATTTGAAAAAGAAAATTTCTCCTTTCAGACTTTTGTTTGAAATGGAATCCAACAGTACCTGAAATGTAAAAAGTCTTCAAAGCAGACATGCCTGAAGGGAAAATTGCTGACCTGGTGACCTGGTGAGCAGGAAGAGATCTGAGGAACTCTCTCAGGGGGCAGAACAGGTAGCACGAGACGGGACAGATGGAGGGGGCGACGGAGAAAAACTGAAGGTTAGCAAAGGGCTAGCAGGGGTTCTGGAAGAGAGTAAAAGGAGGCTCAGGTGATATTTCTATAGGCTAATGGCTGAAAATATTCTAGCCTGGAGAGGCCTGAATTCACACGTGTTCAAAGGACATAGAACCAGTCTCAAGACGGATAAACCGAAGCCCACACCCGAGCACATGGTAGCGACACTGCACAGTGGCGAAGAGTAACAGAAAATTCCGAAAGCACCCAGAGAGAAACTGCAGGTCACTATGCAGGCACCACTACACTCACAGCTCCAGAGGAGCCAGAAGACAATGCATATCGTCAAAAGGACTGGGAGAAAATAACTGTCCACCTAGATTCGCACAGCCAACTAAACTTTAGCCCGGAAAGAGTGATGAAATAGATATTTTTGGACAACAATCGAGAATTTCCGAAGATGAAATCCTTGCTGAAAGAGATGTCTACCTGGAATAAAGGAACTGAACACAGAAGAAAGAAACGAGGACGCTGGCGCTGTGGCGCAGCAGGTTAAAGCGCCGGTCTGCAGTGGCATCCCACATGGGTGCCACTTCGAGTCCTGGCTGCTCCACTTCCGACCCAGCTCTCTGCTATGGCCTGGAAAGGCAGTGGAAGATGGCCCAAGTGCTTGGGCCCCTGTACCCACGGGGGAGACCAGGAAGAAGCTCCTGGCTCCTGGCTTCGGATCAGTACAGCTCTGGCCGTTGCGGCCAATTGGGGAGTGAACCAGCGGATGGAAGACCTCTCTCTGTCTCTCTCTGCCTTCTCTGTAGCTCTGCCTTTCAAATAAGTAAATATTTTTATTTAAAAAAGAAATAAATGATATGTAAGGATATGATAGAGAAGGGGCTGGCGGTGTGACATAGCCAGTGAAGCCAAGCTGCTGCCTACAAATCCAGCCTCCCAAAAGGGTGCTGTTGCAGTCCTGGTTGCTCCACTTCCAATCCAGCTCCCTGCTAATGCACCTGGGAAAGCAGTGGAAGATGGCCCAAGTGTTTGGGCCCCTGCACCCATGTGGGAGACTCAGAAAAAGCTCCCGGCTTCGCCTTGGCCCAGCTATTTGGGGAGTGAACCAGTCGATGGAAAATCTCTCTTTGTTTCTTTGTCTCTCCCTCTCTCTCCCTTTCAAAATAAACCTTTTTTTTTTTTAAGAATAGGCTGGTGGGGCTGGCGCTGTGGCACAGTGGGTTAATGCCCTGGTTTGAAGTGCTGGCATCCCACATGGGTACCGGTTCTAGCCCTGGCTGCTCCACTTCCAATCCAGCTCTCTGCTGTGGCCTGGGAAAGCAGTGGAGGTTGGCCCACGTCCTTGGGCCCCTGCACCACATGGGAGACCCAGAAGAAGTTCCTGGCTCCTGGCTTTGGATTGGCGCAGCTCCGGCCGTTGCGGCCAACTGGGGAGTGAACCAGTGGATGGAGGGCCTCTCTCTCTCTCTGCCTCTCCTCTCTCTGTGTAACTCTTTCAAATAAATAAATAAATCTTTAAAAAATAAAAAATAAAATAAAAATAAAAAAATAGGATGGTGAGAGAAGCAATGAGTAGACATGTGGGTGAGTTAAAATATGCACTGACAGGATAAAGGCAGAGCCAAGAATAAAAGCAGCGTGAAGGGCCAGCGCTCTGGCATAGTGGGTGAAGCCGCCGCCTACAGTATCGGCATCCCATATGGACTCTGGTTCTAGTCCTGGCTGCTCTTCCAATCCAGCTCTCTGCTGTGGCCTAGGAAAGCAGTGGAAGATGGCCCAGGTCCTTGGGCCCCTGCACCCGCATGGGAGACCCGGAAGAAGCTCCTGGCTCCTGGCTTTGGATCATCTCATCTCCAGCCATTGCGACCATCTGGGCAGTGAACCAGCGGATGGAAGACCTCAATCTCTCTGTCTCTTCCTCTCTGTAACACTGCCTTTCAAATAAATAAATAAGTCTTAAAAAGAACAGGCTTCCCGCTCCCCTGAAAGGACTCGAGGTCGCGCCTTCCACCTTCTGCTATCTGCAAGAGCTGTTTTAGGGGTGGGAAAATCCAGGCTGGGCTGATGAGTATGCACACAGCATACTCCCCGCATCTTCCCACCTCCACGTTGGGCCAAGGCTAGGGACAGGCAGGCAAGGGCACATGTGTGGTGCTGGGCTTGGCTGAGTTGTCCCCAGGAGTGCAAGCTGTGTGCAGGGCAAAAGGCACCCAGGAGCTACAAGGACAGTCTGGCCTCTGCTAGCCGCCAGGCTGCGGCAGGGTCTCAGTGTCCCCTGCAGAAGGGGCCGGCAGGCTGGCTGGGCACCCCGTGGTACGGCTCTCACCTGATTCCGAGTAGCCAGTAGCAGTGATGATGGGGACGGCCACCATGAGCAGGCCCGAGGCGCTCCACACGTATTTCATGAGGAACTGCTCCAGCATGACGTACCACAGGCGTTCCAGCAGGATGAGGTGGATCTGCGAGGCCAGGTCTTGGTAGGAGCGCTGCAGCAGTGCCAGCTCCACCTGCAGGGGTGACAAGCACCCAGAGGCCTTGTGGCAACTCCCAGGCACAGGGTGGGGGTGGGAGGAGAAAGGGGAGAGCTCCCAATGCCACTCACATGCACCATGCCATCTGATGGTCCCAGCAAGGCCGAGAGCTGGTGGCTACGGTTAGGCAGGGACTGGCTGACACTGCAGCTCAGCTCCCATCCCCTCTGTGCCACCTCTCCAGCTGGGACCACTGCCGGCCCGTGGCAGTCACCATGCAGTCCTCTGCTCAGCCCATTTCCTCCTGCCTCTGTCGCTCAGGCACAACCGCGCCCCCCAGAGAAGGTCATCAGCGCTCTATTTTCCCACGGTTCCTCTGCGTGAGAACCTTGCAAGGCATTTTCCCACGGAAACCAGGAGAGCCTGCTCCCCGGCTTGGCTCTGCCGCCTCAGCAGTGGGCAGCCCCCTGTGCCCTGTTCTACTGATTTCCTTCCTGCCCTGGCCGCCACCTGCCCCCTCAGGAGGGGAAAGGGACCTCTGCAGGGAAGGGGGCAGCGGCAGTGAAGGCAGGAAGAGCCACGTTGTAAGGATGCTCTGACTTATAAAGGCCTGCTTTGTTGTGAAGCAGGCTCAAGGCTATGTGTCTGTCCCTGCGCCTGTGCGTGCACTCGGACAAGTGTCTGCTCTGAAAGGCCCAGAACACCACGCTGTTGGTCTGAGCCTAGGCCTGTGTTCACAGGGACGTCAGCCAGCGGGACTGCACTGGGCCACATGCCTGCACTGCAAGGACACGCAATCCACACATGAGGGGAGCAGCACCCCCACGTTGTCTAGTGTCAGTGTAGCTTTCCAGCCACGACCTACACAGCCAGCCTGCAGACGGACGCCCGTGGACGCCCTCCCGCCCAGGCAAGCGAACCCTCTGGGTGAAGGAATGTGCTGTTTCCTGAAGCTAGCCCCGAGCAAGTCCTTCAAAGAACTGGCCATCATTGTCACCACTCCCTACCCCCCGCAGCTCAGCTTTCCCGGAGCCTCCCCTGAGAACCCCGGTGATCCAGCTGGGAAGCTGGCAGCCGTGCCAGCCCAGGCTGACAATGTAGCTGCAAGGAACGTGCCAAGCACCTCACCCCAGGCCACGACTGGCTGCCAGGGCGTGGTGGCCTGGCGCGAGGGAGGAAGGGGGACGGGAGAGGGGGCTATCCTGAAGGCCGGTGCTTTTCCTCCTCATCTGCAGCCTGGCTCCGCCCTGGCTGTCCTTCTCTCCAGGGACAAGCTTTTTTTTTTTTCCTTTTTTTTGAATCAAGGACAAGGCTGCTTCTCTGCCTGATATGCAGCCAGAGACAAGATTCCCCGGGCAAAAGGCCACCAGCCCCAGGAGCGCGGGAGAGAGGCGTTCAGGAGACACACGCCATCGGCCCCTCCCCTCAGAAGCACTCGGGGAACTGAAACCCGAGTTGCAGAGAGCACAGCCCGAGGCAGCTGCCACTCCAGGCACAAGGGAGGGGCTGAGGCGAGATAAAGGGAGCACTGGCCTGGAGTAACCTTTCCCGATGCAATCCCGGGCGGCCTCGGCTTGGCCCCAGCCCACCAGGCAGCTAAGCTCCTGGGACCCGGGCGGAAGGGCGGCCACACTGGGGCAGGGCGGCTGCTGGGCCAGCAGGAAGTGTGTTCCGCCGCGGTGGCGGCCTGGACCCAGCATCCCTAGCTGGGGCTGCGGGGGGGGGGGGCGGCTGAACTGGTCAGTAGCCGGGTGGGCTCATGGCTCTGGCGGCCTTGACCCCAAGCACTGCCGCTGCTGCTGCCGCCGCCACCGCCACCACCGCGCTGGGCGCTGCTCGTTAACCTCTGCTTGGGCTGAGTCATACCCATAATGCCTGGCTGCCCCGCGCCGGCCAGCCCTGCTGGACGCCGGCCTTCAAAGGGCCTAGGGCCCCAGGAGAGGCTCCCATCCCAGGGTCCCGGCTCCCAGACAGCAGGCGTCTCCTCCTGGCTGGCTGCGGGAGTGGAGGGAGCAGGAGCTCCTAATGTCAAAGCACTGGGATCTGCAGCTCTAAGCTGGGGACAACCTGGCCGCCGGGGAGAGGAAGCAGAAGTGCCTGCAGCCTATGCAGGCAGCCAGCTCAGGGCAGCACCCCGCCCCCCCGCCCTCCCCCGCTTCTTCATTTCTGTACCTAAGTCCGCAGCCACCAAAGGCCCCGTCCACTCCCCGCACCCCGTCCCCTCCTTCCCGTGGCCTACCCAAACCTATAGCGCCAGCCCCGGCCAGCCCCGGGCTTTCCCCACCGCTCTAAGCTGCCCGCCTCTGGGCCTCCCATGCGCAGCACCCGAACTGCCCCACCTCATGGCCCCCATAGAAGGCGATCTCCTCTGAGTTGGCCACCACACGAGAGTGCATGTACCGCAGCTCTCCCTTCCGCCGTGCCTCCTCTGCCACCAGCTCCCCAAACTTGGGCGAGAAGGCCCGCAGCACGTTGGCCGTGAGGAACACCACGAGGCCGGCAATGGCCGAGGGCCAGGCTGTGCCCGCGCCGCGGGAGCGGGCCGCTCGAAGCAAGGTGTAGGAGGTCACGGCCACGTCCAGGAGTGGCTTGGTCAGGTTGGAGTAGAGGTGGGCCACAGAGGCCGCGAAAGCCACCACGTCCTCTGTCAGAGACTGGTCCGGGTTGCGAAGTCGCCCGTCCATGTTGCTGACCCGGTAGTAGGTCTGCTGGGAGAAGTAGAGGCTGTAGGCATGGGCCACCAGCCGGCTGCGGAAAGACAGGGCCAGCTGGCCCTCCAGGTAGCGGATGGCACTGTTGATGAAGGTGGCAGGGAGGGCGATGAGGAGCCACTGCAGCAGCTGCCAGCTGAACGCCCGTGGGGCCTTGCGCACGATGCAGCGGGCCAGTCTTCCGTCCAGGCGGGCCACATACACCGACAGGAAAGTCCGGCTTACCAGGGCAGCAGAGTGCAGGGCCAGCAGCCCCGTCTCCCTGCACAGGACCCGGGGGAACAGCAGCCGCAGGAGCCACAGGAGTCGCTGCAGGAAGACTCGGTTCATGCCAGCTTTGGCTGCTGTGGCCCCGGAAGCCTCCTGCGTGGGCTCCCCCCTTGGCACCTGAGGGCCCCTGGCTGGAGCCAGGCACTGCCGCACCAGAGGGTAGATTTTGTGGACTCCATAGGCCGTGAGAGCCACGACCACGGCTGTGCGCTTCAGCGTGGTCACCCGCGAGGGCCGGGCGGTGGACAGCACCGGCATGTCACCCGGGCAGGTGCGTGGGCTGGGACTGGTGCCTGAGGCGGCAGCTGAGGCAGGTGGCTGGAAGGGTTGTTGCTCTGACCCCGGGTCTGTTGTCTAGGAAACTGGAAACCTTGCAGTGGCCTCCCAGATGGTCGCTTTAGGCCCCTGAGGGCGGTGCTGGGGCCCCCGGTGCGGTGGGCTCGGGCCCTCCAGGGTCTTGGCCTCCTCTGGCAGCCCAGGTGGAGAAACTTGGATCCCCTCTCGTGTCAGTCCCCTAGCCCCTCAAGAGGTCTCGGGCATAGAGGGCGCCTCTTACCCTCCACCTCTTTCTCCTCCCCCGATGGCGCCCCTCCCCGGGACACCAGGCGCGTCCGTCCGCTCTGCAGCCTGGCTCAAGCGACAGTGACTCCGCCACCGGCCTAGAATCCCCACCCACCCACCCCTCCCCAGGGGCGAGCCGGGGGAAGGGGAGGAGGCGGAGGAAGGGCGAAAGGCGGAGCCTGGGCGCGGGTCGCCCCACCCCGTTCTCTCAGCGGGCTTGGCCCCACCCCCTCCCCGGACCACAGAGACGTGGGGCGGCCGCGCGGGCTAGACAAGCGGCCCTTGCCTTCCCGCCAAAGCTCCGCCCCGCCCCGCCGTGTCGCCGCCGGCCGGGAGACGCGGTTTCCTCTTAGCTCTGCGCTCGGCACGCGGCTCGGGGATGGGGCGGGAAGCGGCGGTAGGCGGGGCTTCCCGGGGCTCGCGCGCTTTGTGGGCGGGGCCCGACGGGCGCTTCCGGTTTCCGGCCGCGGCGTGAGGGGCGGGGCCCGGGCTGTGGCGAGAGTTCGCTGGCTGCAGCGGGGCGTGCTCACTGACTGTGGGAAACTCGGTGAGTGGCGGTCCGCGCCCCCGCCTGGGCTTTGGGGCCGCTGAGGCGCCCGCAGCCCCTCGGCGGGGAAGGGGACGGAAAGCGTGAGGAGACCGAGGGTCCCTGGGGACCTCCGAGCCCGGGACCGACCCGGGAGGGCAGGCCCGGGCGGAGAGAAATTGGGGCGGCGGTGGGTGGAAGCGGGCTCTGGGGGCGCGGGGGCGGGGGACGGTGGCGAAGCCCCACTCGGAGGAGCCGCCGGGGGGGGCCTCGGGGAAGCGGTGCCGGGCCAGGGCGACGTCCAGGGGCCCTGGGGTGCCGCACGGCGGCTCCTGCGCCGGGTGGGCGTTTTGGCCCGAGAGGGCTGACAGGCGAGCGTCTCCGGTGTGTCAGGCCTGCTGCTTCTAGAACTTCGCTCTGGATGGTTGCCTTGAGGTGCCTTGTTGAGACCTGCGTTTGCTCTTGGCCCTGACTCCCGCCCTCTAAGCAGCCTCGCTCGCTCGTGGGCCTTTCTGGGCCCCCGGGGGCCTCCCGCCCGCGTCAGAGGCGCAGGGCGGCGGGCAGGGCTGTTTTAGCTCCGGAAACAGCTCCTGGCCTTCTCTCGGCCGGCCCCGTTGGAAGGCTGAGGAGGGCAGGGCCTCCTGCTTCCCCCAGGGGGCGGCGGCCGAGGCGGAGGCGGCTCCTGGACCGGTGCAGCTCCCGAAGCACTGCGGGGCCGGGCCTGGGTCGGAGCAGGGATTTGAAAAAGGCCCGGCGCCCTGCAGCGGAGCGCCGCTGGGAAGGGGGCGTGCTGGGGGCGTGCTGAGGGTGTCCTGCTGCTGGGCTGTCTGTTTAAGAAAAGCGCTTTGCCAGTGACACAGGCGCAGGAGGGGTTCTTGGGCTCCCTTGGGGAGAGGGATCGTGCTGGCTCTGGAGGTGATGGAGGGGGGCGACTAAGGCTCTCCCGGGAAAGGCAAGTCTGTTCGGCCTTTGGGCACCGTTGGCCGTGAGTGGCCTTGCTGAGCGCCGGCCGGTTCAGCTGGTGCTGCGAGGCTCTGAAGTCCAGTGCGGGGGCCCTGGGTGGAGAGGGGCAGCCCCGGCCGCCCAGAGCACCTGGCCTGGGTGCCCGCGGCTGCCCAGCTCTCACTGCTCCTCTTGTTCCTTCTGCACATGGCCAGGAAAGAAGCTCCCATCTCCCCGTTGGAAACCCAGTGACAGGATGAGTCTGCAGTGGACTGCAGTCGCCACCTTCCTCTATGCAGAGGTCTTTGCCGTGTTGCTTCTCTGCATTCCCTTCATCTCTCCCAAAAGGTAGGGCCCATGGAGCGCGCTGGCAGGCAGGCTGCGGGGTGCCCCCGGCCAAGTCCTGCGGCTTGTGTGCAGAACCGGTGGGCCCGGGACCTGGGGCCCTAGGGAAACAGAACCTGTCTGGGCCGGGGGTGGTGGGGCCCGTGGAGCGCGCTGGCAGGCAGGCGGCGGGGTGCCCACGGCCAAGTCCTGCAGCTTGTGTGCAGAACCGGTGGGCCCTGGACCTGGGGCCCTAGGGAAACAGGTAGAACCTGTCTGGGCCGGGGGTGGTGGGGCTTGTGCTTCTTACTGTGGCCCTCCATACGGCTCTGCCTTGTCACGTCTCGCAGGGCTCCTTTCCAGTGCGCCCTGCCTTCTTGACAATACCCTAAAGGGAGGAAGATCTAGCCTTGGTGTGTTCTGAGCGTGACTGCCCTCCCGCCGTCCCTGGGTGACGCGGCTGTGTGCTCTCCGGAAGCCTTGCACCATCGGGTCACGTTGCTGACTTGGTGCCTTCTGTCCCAGCTCGTCTCACTGGCCTTGCAGCAGAGCCTCGGGAGCATTACTCAGCCTCTGAAGGATGAAGCCGTGTTCCTTTTCACTGTACACCAGACCTGTCACATGCTGACTGGAAATTAATTTTTAATTACAACATCTGAACACATCTATCTCTATTTAAATTAGAAGCTTTCTTTCGAATAAGGCTAGATTTACACAAATTTTTAAAAATTCTTCTTTATGGAAAAAATTTATTTGAGGGGCGTTGTGGGGTAGCCTTTTAGGTCGCCTCCTGCGATGCTGGAATCCCGTAGCAGCGCTAGTTTGAGTCCCGGCTGCTCCACTTCCTATCCAGCCCCCTGCTAATGTGCCTGGGAAAGCAGCGCAGGATGGCCCAAGTGCTTGGGCCCTTGCCACTCAGGTAGGAGACCTCGTTGGAGTCCCCAGCTCCTGGTTTTGGCCTGGCCCAGCCCAGCCCAGACCATTGTGGCCATTTGGGGAGTGAACCAGTGGACAGATCTTTCTGTCTCTGCCTCAGTAAAACTTAAAGTGACTTGAAGAGCAGAGAGACACAGAGGTTTTCTATCCACTAGTTCTCTTTCCAGATGTCTGCAACAGCTGTGCCTGGGCCAGGCTGAACCCAAGAGCCTGGAACTCAATCAGGGTCTGCCACTGGGTGGCAGGGACCCATCTGTTTGAACCATCACTGCCACTTCCCAGGATGCACATTAGCACGAAGCTGAAATGGAAGTAGAGCAAGGACTTGAACCCAGTTACTCTGACACGGGAGGCAGGCGTCCCAAGGGGTGCCTTAACTACTGTACCAAATGGTTAGCTTCTTCAGATATTTTTCAAAACTTCTAAAGTGAGAAATATAGGCCACTAATCTGAGCCACAAGAAGATGTGCAGCGATTCCTGAGGAATATTTTTGCCCAAAACCAAATCTGCATGCAGTTCAGAGGACCCTCGGAAGTGCAACCTGGGAAGCTGTATGGTACAGGCAACCTGGTTTTTGCATAAAGTAAATTGGAAAAGAAAGAGGGAGAAAGGAAGGGGGATTTAAAGAATAAGAGAGACTTACGGCACTTAACTAATGTCCAAAATAGGACCTCGTTGGGTCTTTTAAAAGAATATTTCTTTTTTTTAAAGGTTTATTTATTTATTTGAAAGGCAGAGTTACAGCGAGAGGGAGAGGGAGGGAGGGAGAGAGAGAGAGAGAGAGAAAGAAACCTTCCGCCTGCTGGTTTACTCCTCACATGGCTGCAACAGCCAGGGCTGAGCCAGGCCAAAGCTAGGAGCTTCATCCAGGTCTCCCGTGTGGGTGCAGGGGCACTTAGGCCATTTTCTACTGCTTCCCAAGGAACATTAGCAGGGAGCTGGATTAGAAGTGGAGCAGCTGGGACTTGAACTGGGTGTCCATATGGGTTGCTAGCAGCAGCTTAACCCGCTGTGTCACAACGCCAGTCCTACAAGACACACATTTTGAGTACTACAAAGGAGAGTACAAATGAAAAGTGGGTTTTCCTCTCTAGAGACCACTAATGTCTAGGCATTCCTATCTGTATACATGCAGCTTTTTTTAAGCACTTTTAAATAGCTACCATACATTGGAGAATTCCAGGTGTCTGAAGCTGACACCATGCCGCGCTCGGGCCATGAGAAGAGTGCAAAGCTGACTCTCTGTGCTGGTCAGGGCCCTGCCCCCCAGGATCATGTGCTTTCCCTTCACAGATGGCAGAAGATTTTCAAGTCTCGCCTGGTGGAGTTGGTCGTGACCTACGGCAACACCTTCTTTGTGGTTCTCATCAGCATTCTCGTGCTCCTGGTCATTGGTGAGTGGGCTGTGTGTGGCCTCTGCTGTTCTGTGCTCTGCCAAGTGGGGCTTCTCGCAGACAGATCAGTGAGGCGCCCCCGTCTTTCTTTTGGGCAAGATGGTGCTGCTGCCAGGCATTTGTGGAGAGAGGTTCCTCCAGCAGGGGTGTGACTATACCAGGCAGTCGTTATCTGCATCCTTATGACAACTGCCTCACATTTCCGAGGTTGCTCCTCAGGTCATTCTAGAAGCAAAGCTAAGACAAGCTAACTGGCTCATGTCTCTGGTCTAAGCAGTACTGCTTTCCAGTCATTTAACCAGCAGCATTCTCCCTCAGTGTCTGAAACAGGTCTTCAAATAAGGGGCTGAGCACCCAAGTAGACAGGGAGCCTTGTGGAAGGAAGTCCTGCCGTGTCTGCTAATGGAAAAGGGCACTGAGCTGACTAGCAGTGTAGCTTGGGGACAAATCCCAGACCTCTCTGGATCTGGGCTGGACTTCAGGTCTTTGCAAGTGCTTCCAGCTCTGCGGTCCTATAAACCTTGGCATTGAGACACACACCTGCAGGGGCTTGAAAGACAAATGGACCAGAGGG